GAAAAACATCTGTAAACTGTTGTCTGTTTTAGGGTTTGCTGGTGTGTTTCAGGATCTTCCTCAGTCTGCAGCTGTAAAAGCAAAATATAATAAACTTAAGTAAAGCAATGGGCTGAGTCTGACCACATGCAACATTAGATCATTGACACCAGCTAAATATAACTTTTCAGTAAATAACAAACCTCAGCTTTTATAATAAATTTAGATAAGATTACATATATTTTAAGTCAAGTGTATATCAAATAGATGGAAACTGTAGTATTAAAAACACTTTACAAAAAGATTCCGTTTGTTAGATAACATGACCTATCAATAAACGATAAATAGCAATTATTCTTCTTATTATTTCAAAATAATATAATTAAATTAATTATTTCAAAATTTATTAATACATAAAATCAGTTCAGTATGTTAAAATTATTTAATGCACAATGAACAAACATGAATGATCAAGTGTTTGTATTAAATAATATTGTTCACTCACTGTAAGTTGATGTTAGATAGTCTATACAGGAGATAAAATTTGACTGTACTTTCATTTAATCCAAACTGTGTACATATTTAGTTATCTATACCTGCTAGAGTTATCCAGCCAAGAATAACAACTAACCAACTAGCTAAAAAAAAAAAAGCCCAGAACTGCTTTTCTGACAGACTGATATGACATAAACACTGTTAACCATTTGTACATTCTCTAACATGCATATTTTAGATTCACAATTCATTTAAAAGCCTCTGGTGTGTAAAAATAGTAAATACCATCATGTCCTCCTGTTTTTTTACCCCAATAAAAGTTATAGGCCGGGTCTTTTGTACCGGGTCTTTTGACAACACTAGTTAACTCTGATCTTCAGAATAGAATACAGCCTTTTTTAATTTTTGAGGTACTTTTAGAGGGGTATCACATTTATTCTCTCTTGTGCCTGGCCTTCTCCAGCAGCAGATGCAGGTTGACCCACACAAGTTGGACTTTGGCCTCAAGCCGGAGTTCTTAAGTCGACCCCCAGGCCCCACTTTTTTTGGAGCTATCCATCACCCTCATGACTTGGCGCGACCTGCATCGCTTTTCTCAGCAGCAGGTGAGTAGATGACCCAAATCTTAGCAGAGTTGAGAGAGATCGCTGTCACTACTCAGATCAAAAGCAGCGCTTCCAATGTCTTTGGGTTAGTCAGCGCTAGGGATGTAACGATTCACTCTACTCGCGATTCGATTCGATTCACGATTTTGATTTCATGATTCGATTCACGATTTATTTTTTACAAAATGAGATTTAAGACAAATTATAAATTAAATGTGTCCTTTTATTATTGCTTGGACAAAATACTGTACGTTTCTTTGTGAACTTGAAATATAACACTATAATAATATACTAATATTGCACTTGTAAATTATTGCTCTGTCCTCATTTGTTAGTTGCTTTGGATAAAAGCGTTTGCTAAATAACAACATTTAAATATAATGTAAATGTAAATAACAAAACTAAATTTAAAATTTAAAACATGCCCCAAATCAAATAAATAAGTAACACAAATAAAATAAATCTCTTCATATAAACAAACTAAGGCTTTGTCTGTGCTCTTTCCATTTAAAATTAGAGGCAACCACTGCATTTTAATCATGATACAAACAAAGATGCTGCATACATGCAACATGAGCAGTTTTTAATCTAAATTACGCTCCATTGATCATGACTTCTCATAGTCGTGGTGCACGCACTAAACTCAGAGTCAACCTACTCCGAGTTGACTGAACTAACACAATTCAGCTGTTCTGAAACCGTTTCCCATCTCAAGGTAAGTCAACTCAGAGTTCAAGTTTTAACTCAGAGTTGGTTGAACCTCCTTATTGAAACGCGCCACAGGAGTTCCCAATACATTAACACACCAAACCCCCCACAACAAACACACCTGCTTTGCATTGGAATATCCCTAAAGAAGGCGGAAAACCCTTTGAAGTCCACTCACATACAGTCAAATGGAGCCCACCCCTCAACTGAGCATGTCAGATAAGAGAGGCATACAAAATGTGCAGAGCGGGGAGGCGCCAGGACTGGAATTGGGAACCTTTGAGCTAGACCCTTAGACTTGCTTTAATAAGATTGGAAGAAATTTCATCATTATCTGTCTTGGTTTCAGGGTCCACGCATCCCTCAGCTGCACCTTTCGGACACCCTCCACATCATCCTAGCAACTTTCTTACCCCAGCACCCCACTTGGGTAAGTTGACAAGACTCTTACATATGCACATTCACACTCCTCCACTAGGTGTCACTGTGCAATCAACAACTGCTAATTCTTGACTGAAGTGTGTGTATTCTAAGGCATGGGGAGGGCCAATGTCCTGCAGAGTTTAGCTCCATTTTGCCCCAACACATTTGCCTGGAAGTCTATAGTAATCCTGCAGACCTTGATTAGCTGGTTCAGGTGTGTTTAATTAGGATTGGAGCTAAACTCACTGGATATTGGCCCTCCAGGAGAAGGATTGGACAGCCCTGGATTAAGGGTTACTGAACACTTCTCTGAAAGTCAGTTGATATTAGGTATGCAACAATACAATTAGCCCACTGTTCAATACATGTCTCGGTTTTTTTTAACCACGGTTTTTGGTTCGGTTCAGTTCAGTTCAGATGGCATGGCACATCAGGTTTTATTTTATTTTTATTATTCTAGGCTTAGGAGACAGGAGCAGTAAGAGGTTAAAGAGGCTTTATTTTATCAAATTCCACTTGCAGACAATCCTATTGTACTGTATAATATAAATAAAATAAATAGACTAGTAGAAATGCACTGATATTAATTTTTCATGGCCAATTCCAATTGCCAATTTTTCTTTTTCTTTTTATTGATTTCATTTTTTTACGCAAGAGACAATAAAGAATGAAAATAGGAGTACATGAACAAGATGCTTATTTGCTCTGTTACAAGCTATCTGTAAAAATAAAATAAAATTAGAGGCAACCATTCCATTTTAAACACAATCCAAACAAAGATGCTGCACACATGTAGCATGAGCAGTTTTTGATTTCAATTGGATTAAATCGTTTCAAAATTTGAAGCAAAACAGAATGGTCTGACTTCAGCTTTGTGAAACTATGCTAAATAAGAACTGAACGAAACAAAAACAGCAGACTGAACGAGAATGCAAATTTACTCTCTGACAGCAGGTGGCACTTACCCAACAGCAGCAATAGCGTTTTCATGGTTACTGCTGTAAAGAAACAGCCGCAGCGCTTATAAACACTACTTTAAAATGCATTATATGGAGGTAAGATGAAAAGAAAATACCATCTAAACTTTTCTGAAGACAGTCAGTTCCCCTCAGAAATACATTTATATAAACCTCCAATATTTAGGATTTTCTTCCAATATTTTGCGCATCTTGATCTAGGGATGCTCCGATCCGCCTTTTTCGCCTCCGATACCGATTCCGATACCTAGGGTTCGGTATTGGCCGATACCGATCCGGTTTTTAATAAGGCAACAACATATAATAGATACGATAGGACAAAACAAATACAGTGCAGCACGAACTGTTTTTTATACAGTCTATGAGCACGAAGCACGTACAATGTGCGCATCCGGTGTGCAGAATGATGACGTCACAGC